GTTTTTCGATGTATTTGTATTCGACATGTATTACGATATATCAACACAAGTATCGATATTTTCGATATATCGCATTTAATTTTATTATTGGGGTTTTAATATTTATTCACTTTTTCAAATGAATAGTTTGTGTTATCAATTTTGTCCGATCGATTTCAAATTTGGGTAATGTAATCAACATTATATCAACAAATTGGCATTCAACGATTAAAATATAGCAATATGTTTTTTACTTGCCATATGTATATCAAATATCAAATAGTTGGGGACATCGCATACACACACTCACACATACATACAACAAGCAACAGTTCGTGTCTATGTGTGCCGATGCATACATACATATGTACATGCATATGCATGTATGCCTGTATATGTATGTAGCATGTAAATACAAAACAACAACAACAACTTTAAGTTGTTGGCTCGCACATCTTCTTTCGTTTTGACCATTTAATGTTAATTGCAAAGGCAAAACGTTAATTGTTTACAGTTACCGTCGCTAAGCAACGACTGCGTAAGCGATAGTAAAGCAGAAACCGAATAACGGAGCTACGCATATTCTGCTTCGCATTGCGGGCAGATGTATGTATGTATGATTTGTTCTTATTGATCTCAATAAATAATTATTTATTTATTTTATTATTTAAATATTCTGCTTATTGCATTCAAACTTCGATATTTTGATGGTATCGGTGGCTTCAACTATCGAAAGTTTTACTCTAGCAAATTGAGATGAGAATTGTCAGTGCTTTTTGATCGTGGCTCATCGCTGCACGGCATTGACACGAGTGCCGTGTTTCATATTCCGAGTTTGTGCGTGACCGTATTGACTCAATATGACACGAAAAGGCTCAAATGTGAATTTAAAATTAGGATATACCCTTATAATTATTCCCCCTTTTTTGCAAATCGTCTATCTTAAAACGTTGCGTTATCTCTATATATAAAACAGTTTGTCCCGACTAATTGGTGATCAACGCACAGCCCAAACGGTAAAAGATGAAATTTGGACTCAAGTATCTTTTCATAGTATCCATCATAGTGTAGGAGCACACTAAGAAAGGCTTTTGGAAAATTCTAGCTCCAACGGGGGGAAAACGAGCTTTAAAAAATATTAGTTATAGTGGTCATGTTCGTTGAACGAAATAGTTTGGCAAGAACAAAAATGTAACGGACTACTGAACAATTTTTTGTCAAGAACAGAAAATGTTCATTTAAATACCTTAAATGCCTTCCTACTGGTAACTTATAAGGTGAAAACATATGGGTAGGTTATGCACACACAAAATAAATACAATTGGAAACATTATATTGAGCCGGGTTAAGACGGGCAATACCTGCTAGTTATATATATAAATAAAATATATACCAAATCGTTATATCCGTTATACAAATAACAATAGTTGGAAGCGTCTGTAAATTGGTCTATTTTTAAACGACTTTAAAATAGGAGGAGACTCTCAATTATTCTGTATTTTTTTAATGTTAGTTACTTTGACTGGATGCACCAATTTTGGTGAATATTTTGCTTATTTTAAAGCTAATGCTTCCCGTGTGGTCTCATTTAAGTGTAGCCCAGGTCTGACAATAGCATCCATGAGGAAACCATATTAGTTTTAAATTTGCATTGAGTATGAGAGCAATAATGGACGAATAACCCAATATCACGCCAACCGATTTCGATGATTCTTTTCTTGGTGGAAAGGATGTACTTGAAGGGTATGTTATCGAGAGATTGGTTAGTCTCTTATTATGGGATCCATGCCAAAGAAACGGAACAAATTAGGAGCAAATTTCCAATACTATTCTGATATTTGATTTACTAAAAATAAAAAAATAAAATAAACAAAAATGTTAACAAAAAAAAACCGGCTTGAAATTAAAAACTATTCCAAAACAAATTAATATACACTAAAATCTAAAAAAATAAATTTGCGTATTCTTCTACAATAATGTGTGTAGGTACAATTATTGTTATTTTTATTTATTATTAAAATCAATCGAAGAGTCAATAATTTCCATACCACTCTGTCAATTGTTTTAATGGCAAACGCTTACCTAATCCCTATTCTATCACCATTGGAGTCACGCTGACAAACTGATGATTTCCAAGAAATATGTTTAATTAAAAGTAAATAAAAGGCAACAACAAGCTGAGACCATACCTGTCAGTCAAGCATGGTGCTAGGGCAGACCCAAAAATAAACGATAACCAAAATATATAGATACATATGTATATGCATACGAATAAAGCGCACAAGTGTCAATCCAACTGTCAACTAATTAATTAAATTTCAATTGAAATTGTTAAGCCAGAAATCAGAGAAAAAGGTGTCCCGCAGTCGCAGTCGAGGCTCCAGCAGCTCAAGATTTCTATACTTACTATACGAGGCCGCTGGTGGCCTCTCCGCTGTCTACGTTGACTTTGGTCGGGTCCAGTTGTCAGTTTCTACAAGATAAGCTGTCACACATTCCAGCAACCAACCGGTAACCAGTAGTATTCCCAACCAGACACACACACTCGTACACACGCGTGTGCAGCTCATAACTAACGCTACAAAGTGTAGTTGAAAATCAAAACAGATAGCTGTTGTGTGCCCAAGCAGTTGTTGTTGTTGTCGCTTGCTTTATGACACATTCAATAAAAATAACAGTCCAGTTAAGTCGAGTCGGTAGCCAGTCCAGGCAGCTAACCAAGACCAGACCAGGCCAGGCCAGCCCAGATCAGACGGCAGGCAACAGCAACATCAGCCCCAACTCCGACTCCGACTTCAACTTCAACTGGACAAAATGTCAGTTTTTGTTTTTGTGCCCCGTTTGTGACCATTGGCGCGTTTACGCTCTGTCTTGTCTATGAGGTGCCAGCTCTGCCACCTTTGTTCGTTCGGAAATTACCACGAATCTCAGTGGGTTGGTCATTGGTCTCGATGCAGAGACAAGCGGCAGCAACAACAAGAGCACATAATTTCGTTACTGGAAAAATATTATTATTAATCATGAAAATGTTTGCGGCACATGCCACTCCATTTGAAAGATCGGACAGACCGGCGCATAGTTTCTCTGTCTGGCTTCAACTTTTGGTGTTTGCTGGTGGCAATACGAATAGACAATTGCGCTTCGCTTGAGATCAGTGGCCTAGGCCTAATGAAAACTGACAGTTTTCGGTAGCCTTGGCTAACTTCGTTTTCCATTTCTGTAGAATTGGTGGCGTTTGATGGTACTGTTTCCCCATAAGCGCCATTTACTACATGTTTGGAACTAGTACCTTTCTTTGTCCTCCATTTGATAAATTGAAATTGAAAACATTTGTTTACATCGAGTCAGAAATACTTTAAAACCCAATTAGCCCTTTGAAAGTTTCGAAAACATATCTTATATTATAGACTCAATTTAACATCATTTGAAAATATTTATTTTTACCACTAAAAGGTTTTGTGTTCTTGCTAAAGTTATGATATTATAAATTATCAATCTTTTCATGTTCTTTATGCCATCGGAAATGGTCGGAAATTGTTAAGAGCTTCTCGTATTCAAATTACTTGAATCATGTCATTAATTAATCAAATTGAAAATAGACCACTTGGAATAATTCCCAATATAAATCCAAAGCATAAACTAATCGCGCACGTCGTATTTGAAATATATATAAATATATATAAATTATTAGATGGAGTATGAAACAGTGCTGCAGTAAACTAGCTATTGATTAGCAAATAAATGTGTTACGTGTCCGATTAGAAAAACAATTCAGAATCGTGAAGTTACTTTTTTGTGATTTAAGTGCATTCGATGTCATTCATAAGTTCAAGAAACCTAGGGTTAAGCTCATTCAAAAAGTGTGGTTATATTATTTTTAAATTCAACAATATAATTTTATTATATATTATTTTTTACTTTGTTATCTATGGTCTCTATTCGAGACTAACGAGTAATGCATTGCCCACCATATATGACTAATAATATATGAATAATATTGAAAATGCTTAGCATAGAATGTGTCTTGTTCCTTTGTCGAGTACTTTTGTAGTAGAAAAGGCTAAGCTGCCTGTACTCTTAGTATAAATATATCTTTACTCACTTGTAAATTCTAATGTTTTTAAGCAAAGTGAATAAATTGAATTAAATTACTATACATATTTTTTGGTTGTGTCTGCATTTTTTAAATCACATTTTCAAAAGGTTTAGGTATTGTAATGTACATACATACATATATGCACGACTACTTTTATTCAAGTGTGTTCTATATAAAAAAGGGATTTCTGAATAGCCACCAAATTGTTTATTTTTAAAATGTATAAATTCGTTTACTTTTAAACACAATTTGAGACAATTATCATACAAATCAAATAATTCAATTCGATAAATTGATCGAGTTTGCGAAGTATTTTGCGATTTGAATATACTACCAATCCAATATAATACGTTATTTTTATACTTTGGTACTTAATTGGAAAATGAAGAAGATGAAGATGAATTTGCAAACAAGGAAAAAATATAAAAAATATATACTTGTACATAGATACATATATTACAGTGTCTTGCACATGTATAATGCTCAAACGAATCAAAGTACTTCCACCTTGTTCCGTTGCATTCCCAATAACTTTAACCGTATTCCCAACTGCTACCTGTCTGTCCGCTCCTGAGACAACACGTGACACTATTTCATGCCTGTGCATGTCTTGCCACTTGCTTGGCCTGACATTTTCCTAATTGGATTACAAGAAAGACATGAAAGCTATTCAACATAGAGGGCTGCCCAGCAGCCGGAGCATTAATGTCACAGTTGAAACGCAAGTGCATTAAAAGATATACAGATACGAAAACGGTGCAGCTGCCTATAATTTATAGACGCAACAGTAGCCCAAAATTTTAATTTAATTGGATTTAGGTGATTTATTTACTTGTGGCTACAAATTCGGCGCTCATTAAGATAAGATATGATAATTTACTAATGAATAACATGAGCAATTTAAATTGTGTCTCCCCACAACCAGGAAGGCTTCACGGATCCGCCATCGACCTCATCGATCAGTCGGCTATTGCGAGGAAACGACCGCACCAGTGAAGATGGGCGAAAGGATTACACAATACATGGCATATTGGGCGGTAAGTGTACGATCAGTTGGAGCTGCTATGATAGCTGGGTACAACTACTAGTATGTAGCAGAAAACTATTTGGTGTATGTACCCGTTGCTACCGCAGGCAGTTGAAAGCGTTTGAAAAACGTGTTAGAAAAATTAACTATCATTTATTTGATAATTTCGGAAAATCATCATCAAATCATTTGTTGGTCAAATCAACAAACTGGTGTCGGCAACAGCGCTTTGATCGTCTTAGAACGAGCGACTTAAACTTAAATCAAAGCCGCTCAAAATATTACAATAGATCGATGGCTGGTTGGCTGGTTGGCTGGCTGGATGGCTGGCTGGCAGACTGTTGGCTGGGCTGGTAGACGATAACGATCAACAAACCCAAGCAGACAACAAGGCAATGAGCGTCGGCATCGGCAATGTTGACTACACAGAACAGCCAAATAGGTGTAGATGATGACACCTGAGAATCAAAAAATACTTGGACGCAGATTCTTCTGCCTGACAGCTAATAACCCAAGCGGGCTATGTTTTCACTCTGTGTCCCGATATAGTTTCGTTTGCGTGAGACTGTGGTCGGGGCTAATAATACGCTAAATATGCAAAGTCATCCGATAAACGATCGAGGCGAACAAGACTCAAGGCACACGAACGCACACTACTTGCACCAGCCATGGACGACTCTCCATGCCACTGCTGCTGGCCTTAGCCAGTTGTACGACTGCCGGTATTGCCAGATTATGTTTCGGAAATTGAGTAGAAAATTGTGTGATCGTCATTACACAAACGTTTTCATGTACGCCGAGTTTCAATTAAGGGCCGAACAGAGAATGCCGCTCGTTTTCACAAACGTTACGTTTCGAAACTCTTACATACACATATTTTTGTTTTCGTTTTTCTTTTTGGCAATTGTCAAATCCACCGACCTTTTCTGATATTTGCCGACCAAACTGTCACAACAAAGACCCATCACAATTGCACCAAGGGTGCCACACATAGACCTACTCGTACATGAGGAAAAGATTCCCGGCCTGTCACCTTGACACTGCTCAATGAATATTTGACACTGACTGCAAAAGGTATGTTTTCAATGCATATGAATGGCATTTTCTGTAAATTTGCAACCTTGAGTTTCACTCACAGACTTAGACTTTGACTTCCTTAATGGACTCTGAACTCTTTTATCTCCATTGCAATGTGTATTAGGCACAGAGGTCTGTACTTTGGAACTGTTTGTGTGAGAAAATGTTTCAAAACCATTCGCTACTCTCCCCATAAGTCCCATTTTCGTTCATATACTGACATATACTGATTCTGGCAGACGGTAGGACTGTTCTTGAAGTAGTTTTTCTCCTCCAAATTGGTTATTGGTGACGTAGACTCCTCTGCTCTCTTACGTCGCCTTAATTTTTCAGTTCCTTGTAGACTAACAAGGCATTATTTTTCAATCATCTTGTCTAGATGGACTACTGACTACGCACAATCGTTTTCGGGGCATTTGTTGCAATTATAATGATCTTTCTCATTTACTTTCTACAGAACTCTCTCTAAGTTCTATCAAAACTGTCCTCTATATTTATCTCCGGGAAATCTCTGACCACTTTGGCTGTGAATCGGGGCACAGCTGGCCGGGCTGGCAATCAAATTTTCCCCAAACTCCCCCAACCTGTCGGAGGCATTAATAGTTATTTTTGAGGCTTTCTTATTTTTTAAAGTTTAAATTATTATAACTTAATATTAGTAAACTGTATTGGCAGTATTATTTGTTGATATAAAATTAAATAAATAAATATAAATAAAAAGTGGCTTAAGAGATGTATAATTCAGCAATTTGTCAGATATATGATTAGGTACATACAAGTAGAAGTTCAAAAAAGTTCTCGAACTCTACCTTAATTTGATAAAAATATGTTGTGTAATAAATACCTCGAGTATACTCGTATACTTTTATCTTATCTGCTAAACAAATGAATGTTTACAAAGCTGCATGGCGTGCAGTAAAAAAAAAAAGAAAACTTATATTTTCAAATATTGAAAGAAGAAACGGTCAAATATAAATAAAACTAAAAGCAGTAAAACTAAAAGTTTTGTCAAATCTTTCAATATATCCATATATATGTAAGTATGTAATATATGTTTTTATGGGCCTGCCCCGATTGAAGTCCTAGATAACTGAAGAGAGCGCAGTAGTAGGGAAGCGAAGAGAATTTGTATATTGATTTGTAATTTGAGTACATTTTAGTAAATATTTTAATATTTTTTGTTCGTTAAAAACTCTCCCATTTTAACCGACTTCAGAGAAGGTTATGAATTCGTCTGTTTTTTTTTCCTAATTTTTCTTGTATACCTTATTTTGTTTTTACACTATAGATTGGTTTCAGAAAAAGTCCTGTAAAGAAAGGCATTGATCATATGTTATTTTAAATCGTGCTAAATGGAATAATATAAATTTAATTTTCAAATCATGTACAAAAAGCCCGTGTAAAAACAGACTTAAGTGTATATATAGATTTCTGTTACTTAATAGGGTTCGTATGTATATTGTCTTCATAAAGTCCCCACAACCTTATCCAATCGGTGCTACACATAGTCGAGTGAAATACTTCCTGTGGTCTGTCTACTCATTTATTCTCACCTGCTTTCTTGTGAGCCAGTCATAGTTAACCCACTTAACTATTTCTGAAGGCTGGCTCAAATCGAATGTACTAGTACATACGAGCATGCATAGTATACCAATTAGGAACTATGTATATATAATCTATGGAGTTGAGAGTTGTCATTATGTTGTCGAAGCGTATAATAAGCATACGCCCTCCCATCATCATTTTCCTGGTTGGCTTGGTAATGACCCACGGCACCATCATTATGGTCAGCGCCAACGTCCTCAGCCACCCAGCTCACAATCAGAACACAATCGGAACAGCATCACAGAGACATCCACGCTGAGCACGGCCAATGCCAACGCCAACATTCCAGCTGTGCTGTGCATCCGACCAGAGCCCCTGTAATCAACGCCTTCTGTGCCGGCATTCGGAGCCTCACCTGTGGCCCAGACAACGAACCCGACGACGACGACGACTGCGGCTGCGTCCCGCCGAAAAAATTATGCATTATTAAATATATTTCTTCGTCTTTTATTTCGCTTATAATTTCATTTGATTTTGAGTTTTGTACGATTCATACATAAGACTTGCTGGGCTTCCACTTCCATCCTTCTCTCATTCTCATTGTCGTTGACTGTGTTTAGCGGCGGCTCGCTTTGATCTTGCCAAACAGTTGGCTTGTCGTCCAACAGAAATGAGAGAGAAAAATGATTTTTAAAAATAATAACTGAAAACACAAAGAGAAAATTGTGTGGGGGCTGCTGCCCCTACCCCTTCCCCTGCCCCTTCCCCTGGCCCTGACCATGCGACGCAGATTCCGTAGTTTTTGGGTTACACCGACCGCCATAACGCTATTACTCGCACATTTTGTGTTACAAATATTTCAGTAATGTCAACAATGCGACTAAATCAAAAAGTTGCTTTTGTGGGCTTTTGTTGCCTTACTTACGGCGGGCCAAAGAAAAATTGCCGCATTGCGAGTGCAAACAATAATACCAATTAAAATAATATTAAAAATAATATTTACACATTTTTACAATTATTGATAGGAGTGTAGTTATGCGGAATCGGCCTTTAACAAAAACATAGTATGCCAGAAACTATTTATGTGGTTTTATTTCTTAATTCTTACTGCGTTACCTGAGCCTTGCACCCAGAATATCCATCGACAATTTTTCTTCTTAATTTTATTTTATTTAAGCTTAAAAGATAATAAAGCATCAAAAAGAAACCAGAAATTATGTAATAATGCGAATGCCTCCGCCGCTATGCTTTTTTTATTTGCTACCCGATTGCTACCCGATCAGCTATACCCCGATTCGCAACCAAATGGAGTCAAAAACAAAAACAAACCTAGCAAGCTAAATTCTAATAAAATCTAATTAGATAGCTTACAAAATATGGGCAAGGTCTCCAATCTGGTGGTAGAAAATTTAGGTGCCAGTACGGCAAGCTATGCCCAGACTCATAGCCGTATGTGGCTAAAGATTTCCCAAGAAGTGAACTTAAAGCACTGTTTTTATGGAGTAGAGAGAGTTCTGTTAAGAGTAAGTGAGAAAGATTGTTATAATTTGAACAGATTACCCAAAATCATTTTCGTAAAGCGTTCTCAATTGTGCATCTAGACAAAATAAATTGAAAACAAGAGAGAACGCTACAGTCGAGCAAGCCCCTACGGGTACAGGGTATAATGATTTCTTGCTTCACTACAAGGAACTGAAAAGTTAAGTCGTCCTTAAAGAGCAGATCAGTAAACTTCACTTATAATTAAATATATGGATAAAAACTAGAAGACGGCGCTCAAGCACAGAGAGTACTAAAGAAGTTTCAAAGTTTAAGGGTCTGTAGCGACCTCGTGAGCACATCTCTAAGCAATCGATGAAACCAACTGCGTCGATCTCTATAGCGATAAGTTAGTTACTCTCATCTCTATCGCGACCAGAGCGCATACACAAAAAGCTTAATTGTATCCATTCGAATTAATAAATAGTAATTTGTTGTGTTAATATACTTGTACACTTGGAGTGTTTCATCTGCAGCTAACTTACAGGTCATTTCCTATCATTTCTTGGGCAATCGTTTTATAAAACCAAGTCCACCCTTAGCCTGATTTACAATGGTAGAAATGTGAAAATTTAAGTTCAATTTAGAATAAAATTGTACTCCAATATATCAACAGCCGATAAACTAGTAGGTTGCAATTTTTACTTTCCAAGAGTTTGATCATAGGAAATGTTTTTGAGATTTAAATTTGCAGAAAGTTAAAGGGTTATTTCTACAATCAGTAATTTATACACGTATTTATACATTCTTAAGAGCTAGAAGCTAACTTGGTAACACGGTACTCCCCTAGGATTTCAACCATCTATGGTCGCACTCAATCAAGAGGTGGTGGTTATAAATTTGATAAGC